AAAATATATATAGAAAAATATTGTTCCATAGATATTTATTATATTTTCTTCTGCCTTTTTTCTTAGGTTATACTAATTAAAGATGTCTTAGCCAATATATTGATGACCAATGGCTATAAATAAAATAAAAAATAAAAACAAATAATAATTAGAGGTAACGTAATAATAACTTTTACCGGTTTCCCAAAGTTCTGAAGAAGTATATTAAAAAAATAAAATAAATCACTTTACACTGATTTCAACAATATAAACTTCCTTTGTCGATGGTTCACTCTATACAAATCCAATTGACCTTCAGCAAATACCTCATAGCACCTGAATTTCATGCATACATAAATCGATTTATTGCCACTGTGCGTCAGCGTCTTACCAGCATTGAAGCACCCCCGTTGAGCTGCTGCTGCTGCCGCTGCCGCTGCCGCTGCCGCTGCTGAAGAGTTGTGGGTCTGGAGCTCTTGCCTGGCTGACTCTCTGTCTGTCCGTCTGTCAGTCTGTTTGTCTGGCTGGCTAGAGAGTTAGAGCTGCGATCATTTTCCGTACATCATTTCTATGGTGTATTTATTGCCTGGTCGCAATGATCATCGCGCTCTGTGCCTCCATTTCCGCTGTACAGTGTTCGCCAAAAGTTCAGGCCCAGCAACTGGCAGCAGCGACGGCGGCGAAAACCATTTTGGGAAGGTGATCTGTGGGATTGTGCTAATGTCAAATCAAGCTGTGCCCCCTTGTTATTTAGCCAGCCAGAGCAGACCAAACAGACAGAGCAGCCAAAAGGAAGAGGCTGCCTCTGCTGCTGCCTCTGCTGCCTCTGTTGCCGCTGCTGCTGTCCGCCAGAGACTAAACTCCATGTTGATTTTATTGTAAATTGCATTAAAAGATTGCATATAAAGAATTTTATTTATCACCTCGGTTGTTAGGGAAAACGCTGTTGGAGACAAAAGTGCCTTTGCTTATCCTTGTTGTTGTTGTTGTTGTTGCTGCTGCTGCTGATGTTGCCGGGGCGGCATTGTTGCATTTGCTGCTGTTTTGTTATTGTTTGTCTTGGCTTAAGATCTCAAGGTCTTCTGTGGCAATTGGTTTTCGCTTGCCTTTGCCTTTAGCCCCCATCGAAGGTGTCGCTAGATATAGCCAAGTCTTTTTCATATACCTGTGTACATACATATATTGTTTAGCATGGATAGCACTTTTTGCCTGGTGTTCGGCTGCCTCATGCCAGCTAGCTGGCTGGCTGGTGGTTTAGCTGATCTTTGCCAAATTTGTAAATGTTCTTTAATGGAATTTCGAACACTTGCTCGCTCGCTCGTTCGCTGCCTGCCAAGCGCAAGGGTTTCTCTCTTTTTTTTTTTTTTTTCGTTCGTTCGTTCTATGTTTGTGATTTAAGTAGAACGCCTTGAGTTGGCCTGAGCGGCTGAACTATGAACATCGATACAAGGGGGCTTGTCAGTGTGACAATCTTAAGGAATTGCTGGCAACCGCTCAGCCATGAACAACAACAAGAACAACAACAGTCACAACAACGAAAACGAGTATAAATAAAAAACTAACCAGCGAACATTTTAGTTTTACTAGTCAAGCATGTAACAGGGGAGTCAAGTGAAGGGTATATGCATGCATCTCTCTCTCTCTCCCTCTATCTCTGTGTGTGTAATCGGAGCAATCGCATCAGCTAAACAGGCCTCGGATCGATTTCACAGAAGCTTGTTAAGCGTAGATGCCTCTGCCAGCTGATTTGCAGATAGTATTCAAGCCAAGCCAAAGCCATGGCAAACATTTGGCCAGGATGCAAAACTTAGGCAAGTGAGGCCCAAAAGCCCAAAAGCCCAAAAATCTAATTGCTTACGGATTTTTAACTATGGGAACTTTGCCAAGACACAAAAATTCACAGAGCTGCTAAGTGGCTGCTGCTGCTGCTGCCGCTCTGCCACGACGGCTTCATTGAGCGAGCACAAAAAGCAAAGCTGCAAAGTCCACTTCACATTCCCATGCTGAAAATGCAAGGCATTTGTTTGATAAATGCGCCATTCAGCGATGCTTCGTCATATTCAAAGCTTCACACACACACACACACACACACACACACACACACGCACACACTCCAAATCTGGAACAGCTCAGCGAATGTGTTTTGACAACTTGCGAGGCTCGTAGGAAGTTGTGCCTTAAGTAGTTGCTCGAGCCAAAATGTAAGGCTCCAAATGCCTTTTGAGAAAGCGAATTTGCAGACAAATAAATCAAGCCACCTATTTTCAAAGAGTGTCCATTGTGTCCTGACCAGGGCCATTGGGGTGCCGACGACTGTTGATACCTAAAAATGGCAAAAGCCGGTTCAGATTGAGAGGATCGTTTGCTGTTGCTGTTGTTGTTGTTGTTGTTGTTGTTGCTGCTGCTGTTGTTGCTGTTGTACAATGCAATTGTTAACAAGCAAAGTTATGCGAAGCAAGCCGAAGACGTTGCTGCAAACAGGCAACATCAAAGGGCAGAGCCACAGAGCCTTTTGAAATCTAGTGAAGATGCCCCAAGAAAGCGCGAGGCTCGACGATGGCAGAGGATGGAGAAAGAGCGCGACGTCGAGGTCACCGGCTGCTGATGCCCAGGGGCTAAGCAGGGCCTTAAATCTTAGCAGCCAAACATGACAAAGGATGTGCAGGCAAAGGCACAGGCAAAGGCAAAGGCACAGGCACAAGCAGGAGGCAGTCAGGAGGCAGCAGGCGCGGTCATCGGCAAACAGAGGCGACTCGATGCGAACGTGTAGAGGAAGGTGTTTAACAAACAGCAAAACAAACAATTGTAAAACAGCAAACGACAACAGCAAGAACGACAACCAAAGGCGTGGCCGGATTGCACGCCCA